CACATACATATACACACAGGTAAGTTCCTAACTTGGATGGTACAGTGTGTGAACAACTGATGCAGGACATGAACCTAGATGTTACAGAAATAACAGAAACTTAAACTTCCCTGCTATATATTAGCGAATAAATAGGATAAATAATGGTAGGGGGTCAGATATTCCTGGATATGGCACCTGGCAGCTTTCTGCTCCAAGGGGACACTGAACCAATGATCTGACTTGATTTTGGCATGCAAAAGTGTGTGTTGTATGGGTATTTTCTGTGGACAAGTAGCTGTGGTGAGGTTCTGGTTGTATTGTGGTGGGACAGCACAGACAGTCCGGAGCTGCCTGTGCTATCCAACCACCCAGGCAGGAATTCCCAAGGCTTCAGAGGCCCAATCCTGGGGCTGCTGGGGCATTCCTGGGGCAGTCAGGATTGACCCCCTGAATATCCTAGGGCATCTGTCTGGGTTTCCCCATTTGTAGAAATGTACCCTGGGAATCTCCAAGTTAAGGGGATTACTGATGCTTTAGCACCCTGACTCACGGAGTGTCTCTACAAATGGGGCAGCCCTAGGTTCCTCTGCAGAGGCCCACCCTGGGAATCCTCAGTGTCCATGTATTGTGCTGAAATACCCCAGCTCAGGGCACATGTCTGTAAACTGAGGAACGTGGGGTTCCACTGTTTGCACTTGTCCTGAGGGATCAGGCCTCTGAAGCAGCAGAGTGGCACGGGCCCAACCTTGTGGGGCAACAGGCAACATCCTTGTTACCCAGTGAAGCAGATCAGTTGATCTTGCTTCAAGGATCACATTTATTTATAGTCTAAGGCTGCCTATAGACATGCTTTTTCATGTTCTAATTAGAATGCAAATAAGCAGGCTTGATTCACTGAGTGTGCGCCACATTCTAATTAAAATGCTGTAGCATTGCCTCAGCGTCATGTGTGTTAAGCCCCCTGACATTCCAAAATAGCCACGGGGTCGCTTCTAACTAAAGCTTGTTGAATAAGCTTGAGTTAAAGCATTGCACAGACATTTTGAAATGTCAGGGGGGGCTTAATACAGATGATGGTGAGGTGTTTTAATTATAGCAGGTCTCTGGAAATTGCACTTAATTAACCCCACCCTCCCCTTCCCTCCGAGCATGTGTGTAGGCAGCCTAAGATGTTAAGTCAGGTCTTGTACTGCAGTCATGATTTGAAGGATGGATAGAATAACTACCTAGGAGGTAAAACTTAATTCCAGTGTTATACCTTCTTCTCCAGAACTTGGAAATACCTTGGTGTCCCAAATTTTGCTCAAGAAGAGAGCTACAGCAAGTCTTGCTGTGTATAACTTGTGGAGCTTTGCAACATTTTAGGTTGGATTTAGGATGACAGGGGTACCTTTTTTCCCCAGGTACACTCCCAACATCGCCCAGTGCCTGATAAAGAGTGGAAGACCCTTTAGGTATCTAGCATGGTCACAGAATGTAGCCATCTAGTAGGACTGATTTTTCACTTTGGATCAGTATTTTATTGACCTAAAACAGACATGGAAAGGATGCTAATCCTATAGAAAAAGGTCTAGTCCATAGGTACTCAGAAATGCAGAAAAAACAAATTAAGATTTAGAATTCAAATCAAATTATTTGATTGGATTCTTATACCTGAATATTTTGCTTGTATTTGGTAGAAACTTTATTGTTCATACATTTATATTCATATATGGGTAGAAACGTGGGGTTTTCTTGTTGTTCAGGGCCCTAAAATCTGAGGATCCCTTATCCACCTAATCTCTACACCCAAGAAATTTTGGGTGCAGAGCATTAGTTAACTGTGACACTTCTTGGTTTTCATTTAAGATTATCCTTGTTAATTAGAAAAAATGGTTTACTCCATTTCAGCTTAATGGAACATAGCCTACATTCCTTCCCATGTATGAAACCCTATTTTTGATTAATAGTAAATGTATAGTAATTTAATTTTTAGTTAAAAATATGTGATCATTCCTATAAACTGTGAAATATACTATGCTAGAAATAAGGCATTTATATGCATTAGTTTGACTGGTTTATTAGAAATCACACTGCCTCTGACTTTGCTGGCGGCTGTAATCTGACTAATTATGGTTATAGAAGTGAGGTGGTTTTAAAAGAAATCAGGGATTATGATGCAGTATTTGTTTGTTTCTTGCTGGGAGAAATGTCAGTTATCTGCTGAATTCTCCCATGGTTGTGGCATCCTTTACAACATTTTCAAATTAAAATAATTTTAGAGTTGAGAGAATGACACATTAGAAATCAGTCAAGGCTCAGATGTCATCAGAAGCTCTAAGAATGACAGTTAGAGAGCTTGTAATTGTTTCCAGACCAGAAGATGCTGTATATCGTAGTGATCTAGTTATTCTTATTGCGTTTATCAATAAAATATGGACATTCTTAGTGACCCCACCCACAAAAAAAAAAA